ATTTTTTAATAATTTGCGGACATTAAATCGTCGGACACTTATATCACTATTTTGTACAGTAAATTTAAAAGTGGAAAAAATGAAAATTAGATATGTGGTAATCGATTTTTCATACCCCGTGAAAATTCCGATTTCCAGCTGTCGGACTGAAAAAACGCGGCTTGAAATTTGTCGGACAACAATACTTTTTGACTGAATTAATTATTTACAATTAATTTTACTAAAAATTACCTATGTGGTAATTGATTTTCAATACCCTGTTATTTTGGCATGTTTCGACCGGTAGACACGTCAATGTCGGAGGAATTTCTGTCGGACAAATTTAAATCGGCATTTGCAACAAAATTTCCAATTACTTAAGCTAAAAATAAAAGATGTGGTCTTGAGTTTTCAAGACCCCGGGAAATTGCCATGTTTTTGGACTTTCCCGAGTGGAAAAGCGGAGGAATCGAGAAAAGTCGCAGAGGAAAAATGTGGTAGACTCGTCAAAACGAAGCTCCTCAGGAGTTATAAAGTATGTGGTAATCAACTTTCCAGAGGGGGCCTGTACTGTGGACTATTACTTCATAATGACAAAATATGTGTTTTTAAGTTAATGAGACCGTGGAAAAAATAGTATATACCATTCGGGAGAGATGCTATTTTGTCCTCGGTGCATTGTAGCCCTCGGGCTTCGCCCTCGGGCTTCAAATTGCACCTCTGCCAAAATAACGCATTTCTCTCCCTTATAGTATAATGTACTATTTTTTGTTTATTTATAAACTACATTTTTTTACACTTTTTTTAATAAAATGCGTAGTTTTTGAGTTATTGCGAACAATACTTTGAAAAAGTGTTTTTTTTTTCACTCAAAATTCCAAGTTTTCAATCGTGAATAATTTAAAAACTACTGATTTCTCGGAGAATTGCGAGGTGAAAAGCTTCAATGACTGTACTAATTGTCTTTCACCTGGACTGATATGCATGATTTGACATAACCGCGTCCTGTCAAAGTCGTGGTTGTCAAATCGATCGTTTCAATTTTCTGATTTTTTTGACGTATTCTACTATGCAGCAGAACTTCGACAATATTAGCACAATTCATCCTCAGAAAATCGTCGTCTTAGACCGCGGCGATTACACATCGTGCACGTTAAATCTCCACGGCGCCACCGTAACCTCCTGGAGGATAAAGAACCAGGAGATGGTCTTCGTCAGTCGGCAGTCCCACTTCACGGGATTGTCCCATATTCGAGGTGGCATTCAGTTCGTATTCCCCGTGATGGGTTCGTGGATATTCGGCCCCAACCACGGATTCGCCAGGGACTTGCCCTGGGACTTGGAAGAAGGTCCCAATAAAACGGACACCGGTGACGTCTATGCCATCATCAGACTCACTGCGAACCCATACACGAACGCCTTGTGGGCGTACAAGTTCAAGTTGTACTACAAGATCACGCTTTACGAGTACAAGATCGTTTTTAACATAGGCGTAGAAAATATCAGCGAAATCTACCCGTTTGAATTCAATATCATGCAACATTCATTGATGAGGGTCCCGGATGTGACCAAGTGCGAATTTATTGGATTTAAAAACTGTAGATACAAAGATTGTTTGAAGAACAATGAAATGATGAAGGAGGAGAGGGAGAAAGTTACGATTTCCGAGCACACGGACAGGATTTACATAAATGCGCCCAACCAGGTGGTGGTCACAAATGTGATGAAAGGTGGGTCACTGAAAATTGTGAAGAAGAGGACCAGGGATATTAATCTGTGGAATCCGTGGACAGAAAAGTCTTTAACAATACCCGATTTAGGTAACAACCGGTAAACTACCTAGTACTGTTAAATTCTTGAACCTTGTATGAAACTTTTGAGATATCTGAATATTGAAATTATCTTTATCTTGATTAATGTTTTAGACGATGATTGACAAGTAGACTTGCAGAATACTGTTCACATTCAGTCCAATCATTATAGACATGAAACAGCCTGTTTTAGAAAAAAAATACTATTAGAAGTTTATCTGTGGAATATTGTTCGGAAACGTGTTATAAACAAAATATCTAAAAAGTTATGGAAAAGTGGTTTTTTGACTCGCGTAAAGAAACTGTTATTTATAGCGAGAAAAGATTTATACAAAAAAAGGATAGGTATTAAATAAACCTGTAAAATGAGACAAGTCCAATTAAATTCCGATTATTTGCTCATGCGCGAGAGCTCAAAATTGGTCGAAAATGGCCATTTTTTTTAAATTGCTAATAATTAATACAATTTTCATCGCTGACACTTGTAATTCAGGATTTTTTAAGATCTTTACACCTTTAATAAGTGCTAAAAATTTCAGCCCGAAAGCTTCATTAGTTTGGCGTTGGCGGAATGTGTTATCTAAGAAGATGCTGTTTTGAATTCATTTTTTCCAAGCTCCAGGCATTGTAGAGTTTGGATCATTAATTGCTTTTAACATAAATAACATAAATAGTTGCATTGACATATGTATTTACTGAGAATTTAATTTTTCAAATTTAATTTGTTTAAAAATGGCTTTGAAAAAATGTTATTATTTATTAAATTGTTAATATGAAATAGTAACCTCTATAGTTTAGTTAGTACTACCTCTTCGACTTTAAAAAAAAATTGTTGTTCCAAGTTCATTAGAATTGCTGTGACGATAATTATTAATATTAAGAGCTGAAATTTGAAGAGAATATACATTAAGAGCTATATTTTCATGTCCTACATTAACAATAAGATGAATTCAACTATTTAATTGCAAAAAAGATGATAGCGACGATGCGTTCTATTACTCGGTCTAGAGCGGCTACAAATCAATGGAGCTGGAAAAATAACCATATCTCGGTTAATAATAATGAACGTATCGAGATGATTCTTTTTTAATTTGGGATAGCGCGAAAATTCATGCGTATTGAGGCTATTGTACTAACAAAATTAACATTATTTCAACCCGAAATTTACAAAAAAAATAGTACATTTCCTCAGGAACAAAATTGATAAGCATACCTCATGTCGATTAGATGCTTATTTTCGGAGATATAAACGAAAAAACTGGAAAAAGAGCAATTTTTTTTCTTTTGCTATAAACAATATGACGCTCGACCTCTTTTTTCTGTATATTTTTTATTTAATTTTAAGCCCATAAAATTCGAGTTAAGCCCGATTTTTGAAACAGGCATGAATATGGTCTAATTCGCCCGGATTACTTCTTCTGTTTCTAGTGAAAACTATTTGAGCAACACAGTTTTACTTTTTCTGAAAATCTGCAATAATAGATAGCATTTGGCAAGTTTGTTTCTCAATGTGTATTGGTGTTTACCTCAACTTACTCCTGAAAATGATAATTAAGAAACATTATTCACATTTTTTTATTCTTCCGCTAAATAAATGATCTACTCCACTAACATCACTATTTAAATAGGTACAAAACAAGTATATTTTTCCCAAATTCTGTACAGGTAACGATGAATACATGCACTTTGTCGCTGTCGAAGCCGGAATCGTATCGAGACCCGTTCGCATAGAGCCACTCAGCTGCTTTGAAGCATATCAAACATTTGAATTTGTCGAGCCCAAGCAGGAAAAGGTAGTGGAAGACTTCTATGACTTATTTGACGGTTATTGTTAGGGATGTACATTAATATATCGCTGTCAGTACCTGTGACTTTTATTAAGTCTTAAGACACTTCATCCGGGAAGGGCAATCGTCGCCTGTTCAATCACTTTATGTGTCCGTAATTTGTAATATTTTTACACAGTTTACATCACATTGATGTACAGAAGCTTTCCAGTATTTTTATAATACATGTAAGCAATATACAGAGTGTTTGTAAATAAGTGCGAAATATTTTAGGGGGTGGTTGCCGAAGAGTGTTTAAATTTAAATTTTTTATTTATTTTTATTAATTATTTCAGAGTTTTAAAATATTGACTCGAAATTTGAAAAGCGCTTCGGAGGGATAAATGTGCATTTTTTGGGGTGATCCGAATATTTCTACTTGCACCAGTGGCGTTCGAGCGAGAATACCACAACCTTTTTTAATAAAAAAATGGTACGCCACTGACATTTTCCCGTTTTGATAATTTTTTATAAATCCGCCATCAATTTTGAATGAAATTGGCCTCTTCAATTTTTTTCGTGGGATGCACCGTGTTTAAGGAAAAAAATAACACATATTTTCTTATAGGTTTTGTTAATCTTTTATCTAAAGGTGTAAGTGGAAATATTCGAATCATCGCAAAAAATGCACATTTATCCCTCCAAAGCGTTTTTCAAATTTCGAGTCAATATATTTAAAACTCTTTGAAATAATTAATAAAAATTAAAATTTAAACGCTCTGTATCTCGGAAACGAAGCATATTATTTTGACCTACGTTTATATGAACTTTTTTTCAGTAAATAACTTCGGCAACCACCCCCTAAAATATTTCACACTTATTTACAAACACCATGTATTACTGAATTTGGTGCATCAGTTCCTAAATATGAATTACACGTTTGGCTCATCAAACGCAACAACTTAAGTGTAAATTTTATTTTTCAAACGCATCTTAGTCCAGAAGACACTGTTCAAAATTTTATCCACCGAAGTGTAAACACATTTGGGTCCATCTTACTCAGTTTCTACGAACTAACACAAATGCTGTCTTGTTCCACCACTAATGCTTCACCAGAATACACATGTTTTCTTGCTTTACCATAAATTAAAACGATATCCATCAACTCCGAGTCGATTTTTGACACAAACTACTAAAAAACTATTGTAAACACTATGGCAACGACGACTGTAAAATCGGATTTCAGTATTCGGAGTCGCAGAGGCCACGTGGCCCTCCACGCGTATTACGAATGACGCTAGAGACTACAGTTGCCCAGCTATCTAGTGGTTGAAAGTACTACAACTTTAATAATTTTTTTCTCGGAAACTACAAGAATTTTACAAACAAATTTTTTACGATATTGACCCCATAAGATGTGAATCACCCTGCAATGCAATCCTTTATTAGCTATTAGGCATATCTACGAGGCCACAAAAAAGGGTACTGATGCTCTGTGGTTTCCGTTTTCGACAAAGTTGGCACCACTGCATTCAAGGCCAAGGTGTTGGGAGCACAACGCGCGCTCATTTGTGTCAGTCAGTTGCTAACTGTTGTTGTATCCCTCAATTGTGACTGATGAGATGGTAAACTCTCTTCTGCATAAAATCATTACTGAAGCACTTGATTATCGAAAATTGTAAAATTGTGTGCGAGATGACTACCAAAAAAGCTCACGGATCAACACAAAGCTAAGAGAATCTCATCTTCACGGGAATTTCTCGAACGCTTCGAACTGGAAGGTAAACAATTTCTTGATTGTATTGTGACTGGCGACAAAAAGTGGGTGGCCCACTAAGCCCCTGAGACAAAAAGACAATCAATGCAATGGCGACATACCTCTTTACCATCAACGAAAAAATTCAAAACCGTTGTTTCGGCTCGGAAAATCATGGCAACTGTATTTTGGGACCGTAAAAAGATTCTTCCTTCTAATTGATTTTTGCCCCAGGGGGAAACAATTAATGCTGTGTGGTACTGTAAAACGCGGAAACACTACGTAGGGCGATTAGCCCAGTCATTATAGACCTGAAAGAGCCTGTTTCGGGAAAAAAATACTATTAGAAGTTTCTCTGCGGAATATTGTTCGGAAAACTGTTATAAATAAAATATCTAAAAATCAAGTCGAGGCTAGTTGGGAAACTTTGTTTTAACAGTGGTCAAAGTTACGGAAAAGTGGTTTTTTGACTCACGTAAAAAAACTATTATTCATAGCGAAAAAAAGTTTATACAAAAAAGGTAGGTATTAAATAAGCCTATAAAATGAGAAAAGTCCGATTAAATTCCGATACTTTGTTTATGCACAAGAGCTCAAAAATGGTCGAAAATTGCCGTTTTTTTCAATTGCTAATAATTAATGCAATTTTCATCGCAGACACTTGTAATTCAGGATTTTTGAGGCTTTTTACACCCTTAATAAGTGGTAAAAATTTCAGCTCGAAAGCTTCATTGGTTTGGCGTTGGCGGAATTTGTTATCTAAGAAGATGCTATTTTCAATTCATTTTTCCCAAGCTCACAGGCGTTGTAGGGTTTCGATCATTAGTTGTTTTTGTACCTAAATAGTTGTATTGACATATGCATTTACTGAGAATTTAGTTTTTCAAATTTAATTTGTTTAAAAATGACTGAAAAAATGTTAATATTTATTAAATTGTTAAGATAGGTAATTATTATAAAATAAAATAGTAACCTCTTTACTTTAGTTTTCTTCGAATTTAAAAAAAAAATCGTTGTTGTAAGTTGATTAGAAGCTGAGATAATTTTTTTTATTTATTTAATCGCAGTGACCTTAATTATTAATATTAAGAGCCGAAATTTGGAGAGAGTATACATTAAGAGCTATATTTTCATGTCCTACATTAACATTAAGGTGAATTCAACTATTTAATTGCGAAAAAGAAGATAGCGGCGATGCGTTCTATTACTTGGTCTAGCGAACGAGTGGGGAGAGCGAGGCGGAGCATGCGCGCTTAACAATTTAATAAATATTAACATTTTTTCAGTCATTTTTAAACAAATTAAATTTGAAAAATTAAATTCTCAGTAAATGCATATGTCAATACAACTATTTAGGTACAAAAACAACTAATGATCGAAACCCTACAACGCCTGTGAGCTTGGGAAAAATGAATTGAAAATAGCATCTTCTTAGATAACAAATTCCGCCAACGCCAAGCTAATGAAGCTTTTGGGCTGAAATTTTTACCACTTATTAAGGGTGCAAAAAGCCTCAAAAATCCTGAATTACAAGTGTCTGCGATGAAAATTGCATTAATTATTAGCAATTGAAAAAAGCGGACAATTTCGACCATTTTTGAGCTCTTGCGCATAAACAAATTATCGGAATTTAATCGGACTTGTCTTATTTTACAGATTTATTTAATACCTACCTTTTTTGTATAAACCTTTTTTTCTCTATGAATAACAGTTTTTTTACGCCAGTCGAAAAACTACTTTTTCATAATTTTGACCATTGTTTTAACAAAGTTTCCCAACTAGTCTCGAGTTGATTTTTTGATATTTTGTTTATAACACGTTTCTGAACAATATTCCGCAGAAAAACTTCTAATAGTATTTTTTTCCCGAAAAAAAGCTATAATGATTGGCCTAGATAGATAGGGGAATGTTAACGAAGGGAGCGTGCTTGTTGCATGACAATGCAATGTTGCATGCTACAAAGCAAATCTTGGATTTATTCAGTTGGAACATCATCAACCACCCTGCTCACAGCCCTGACCTGGTACCTTCTGATTTTCATCTTTTCTCTTCTGTTTATGAAAGAAAAATTTATATTCATAGGAGAAAATAAATAGTTTAAAAATTTTTTGTTATAATATTGCTACAAAACTAACCTATTATAAAAGTATATTTCTATATTTAAAAAAGTGTTGTCAATGAACCTAAATGCTCTAAATGATCTAATAATGTAGTTTTATCAGCAATTCTTTAAATTTGTTTCATGTTTAAATTTCTTATAAGGCGATATTAAAAGGGCTTTAGTAGCTTTAGTAAATGTATTTCTTTAAACATAAATAAATATAAAAAAATAAAAATATAACTTAAAATATTAAATTTTAAAGTAAATGTTTATACATGCATATAAAAAACAACTTTTGTTATCATTCTAGACACATTACTATATTTCTGGTTTAATAATAATTTGTACTGATTTTTCGCTCTCTCTAATTGCGGTAAAAATTATAGACTATACTTTAAAAAGTTATAACATTAAAATGCAGTGAAACTTTGTTTATTGAGGACGTGATGATGAATACTCTACCGAGGTACAAAGAAATGCAAACTTAAGTGAATATAAACTGAACCCATTAAAGTGTTTAGCATAATGCATATATTTTATAAGACTTCTGCGTCAGTTTCGTCCAAAGGGGCAAGGGTATCCGTTATGCTTTTATAGCCACCTCGGGAGAATTGTAAAGGAAAACATTTAGCACAGTTGCTAGACGTGACGGAAGTACACTGAAATGTATTCTTGCGTCACATAAATCAAGCTATAAAAAATTCTGGTAATGGTTTGTAGCATAACTGCAAATCATGATCGAATGAGACTAGTGATTGTACCAATATATTTTTACCCAGGGATGTTCTACGATGGTTTCATAATATATATATTTTTTAATATTTCAAGAACTAGTAACAATACTATAATACCTACATTTAGTAGTTACAAAATTGTTAAACTAATTCGACATTTGAGTTATAGGCCAGTCATTATAGCTTTTTTCGGGAAAAAAATACTACTAGAAGTTTCTCTGCGGAATATTGTTCAGAAACGTGTTATAAACAAAATATCAAAAAATCAACTCGAGACTAGTTGGGAAACTTTGTTAAAACAATGGTCAAAATTATGGAAAAGTGGTTTTTTGACTCGCGTAAAAAAACGGTTATTCATAGAGAAAAAAGGTTTATACAAAAAAGGTAGGTATTAAATAAATCTGTAAAATAAGACAAGTCCGATTAAATTCCGATAATTTGTTTATGCGCAAGAGCTCAAAAATGGTCGAAATTGTCCGCTTTTTTCAATTGCTAATAATTAATGCAATTTTCATCGCAGACACTTGTAATTCAGGATTTTTGAAGCTTTTTGCACCCTTAATAAGTGGTAAAAATTTCAGCCCAAAAACTTCATTAGCTTGGCGTTGGCGGAATTTGTTATCTAAGAAGATGCTATTTTCAATTCATTTTTCCCAAGCTCACAGGCGTTGTAGGGTTTCGATCATTAGTTGTTTTTGTACCTAAATAGTTGTATTGACATATGCATTTACTGATAATTTAATTTTTCAAATTTAATTTGTTTAAAAATGACTGAAAAAATGTTAATATTTATTACATCGTTAAGCGCGCATGCTAAGCCTCGCCTTCCCCACTCGTTCGCTAGACCAAGTAATAGAACGCATCGCCGCTATCTTCTTTTTCGAAATTAAATAGTTGAATTCACCTTAATGTTAATGTAGGACATGAAAATATAGCTCTTAATGTATACTCTCTCCAAATTTCGGCTCTTAATATTAATAATTAAGGTCACTGCGATTAAATAAATAAAAAAAATTATCTCAGCTTCTAATCAACTTACAACAACGATTTTTTTTTAAATTCGAAGAAAACTAAAGTATAGAGGTTACTATTTTATTTTATAATAATTACCTATCTTAACAATTTAATAAATATTAACATTTTTTCAGTCATTTTTAAACAAATTAAATTTGAAAAACTAAATTCTCAGTAAATGCATATGTCAATACAACTATTTAGGTACAAAAACAACTAATGATCGAAACCCTACAACGCCTGTGAGCTTGGGAAAAATGAATTGAAAATAGCATCTTCTTAGATAACAAATTCCGCCAACGCCAAACCAATGAAGCTTTCGAGCTGAAATTTTTACCACTTATTAAGGGTGTAAAAAGCCTCAAAAATCCTGAATTACAAGTGTCTGCGATGAAAATTGCATTAATTATTAGCAATTGAAAAAAACGGCAATTTTCGACCATTTTTGAGCTCTTGTGCATAAACAAATTATCGGAATTTAATCGGACTTTTTTCATTTTATAGGCTTATTTAATACCTACCTTTTTTGTATAAACTTTTTTTCGCTATGAATAATAGCTTTTTTACGTGAGTCAAAAAACCACTTTTCCATAACTTTGACCACTGTTAAAACAAAGTTTCCCAACTAGCCTCGAGTTGATTTTTTGATATTTTATTTACAACAGGTTTCCGAACAATATTCCGCAGAGAAACTTCTAATAGTATTTTTTTCCCGAAACAGGCTCTTTCATGTCTATAATGACTGGGCTATTACCATTGCTTAAGTTTTCTGATATTATTATTTTTTCAACTTTTCGTGCCACATCACTATTAAACTATGTTTACATGTTTCTTTATGTCTGATTTATGTTTATTTGTTAATATTTTTGTATATTATTTCGTTGTAATCGCCTATGAGCAAAAATCGTTTTGAAAAAATGCAGTATTTGCTATAAAATAGTAATAAAGTGTAGTCATTATTAAATTAGTCCAAAATTTATAAATTTATAAAAATACACTACAATTTAATTACACTAAATTTATTTGGATAGTATCTACAAAAAAAATTGTTTTCATAACCGGTACGTTCCAAACCAAGACCTATATAAACTTTATTTACTTATTTTACCTGAACATTATCTTATTTTGTGTACTTTTTCATGGGCATCCTTTATCGGTAGATTTTGAAGACAACCTTTTTTCCAAAAAAAAAAAAACAAAAATAAAATTAATATAGACAGATAGATATTAGGAGCTGCCTTGACGTTATTTTTTTTAAGCAAAATGAAATCATTGTTAACAAAATCTTATTTAATGTTTCCAGAACATCGCGTCGGCCTTACGAGGAGAAGTCAATAGTTAGTGCCCTGCGGGGCCTCGGATAACTGTCGATAATAAAGCAAACAAGAGAAACTCCAACAGCGAATACACGGTAAGTCTTAGTTTATGAAACCACCACAATATGCTTACAAACAACAGTTGTATATCCCCCTATTTTCGACCCCAGATTCTTATGGCTATACTCTAAAAACTATATGCACATTTTTAATACAATAATATTTTAATTATGTTCGAAAGTGTACCGATATCAATTTTGTGCTGTTTTTATGCATTTACCTTTCTATATAAAATCTGTACAGTATTGTTTCAAAATATGTACATTAAAATTTACATTATAATTTTTAAAAATTGCAGTGCAATATTTAACATTCCCCCGTATAGGTGAAACAGCTGTTGTAAGAGATAAAAAAAGTTGATGTTGAAAAATAGCTTTTCAGGTTTCAGCCCAGCATGTTTGTGAAAATCTGCCATAATCCGTAAAACCCAGTAAGTCTTGGAAATTCAGAAAAATCTTATTTCATTCACCAGTAAAAAAGTTCAATGTTTTATAAGCTTACTTTGATTTTTAGCTCGATTTTAGATTCTTTTGCTAGTAATGCTGCATGAAATATGAGAGAATTTTATTAAGAAATGTTTCAAACTGAAAAATTGGGCGTCTGCAATTTTATTGGCCAACTCACTATTGTACTATTGTATTAAATGTAGGTACTTTTAAAAAAAAATCTAGGTTTTTATGTACTCGTGCATTTTTTTTCAATACCATTTTAAATACAGGGCGATTTATAAATTGTGGCCAAAAATGAAACTTTGTATTCTTTGGTGTCTTGTTAAGATAGGTAATTATCATAAAATAAAATAGTAACCTCTATACTTTAGTTTTCTTCGAATTTAAAACAAAATCGTTGTTATAAGTTGATTAGAAGCTGAGATAATTTTTTTTTTTATTTAATCGCAGTGACCTTAATTATTAATATTAAGAGCCGAAATTTGGAGAGAGTATACATTAAGAGCTATATTTTCATGTCTTACATTAAGATTAAGGTGAATTCAACTATTTAATTGCGAAAAAGAAGATAGCGGCGATGCGTTCTATTACCTGGTCTAGTGAACGAGTATGGAGAGCGAGGCGGAGCATGCGCGCTTAACAATTTAATAAATATTAACATTTTTTCAATCATTTTTAAACAAATTAAATTTGAAAAATTAAATTGTCAGTAAATGCATATGTCAATACAACTATTTAGGTACAAAAACAACTAATGATCGAAACCCTACAACGCCTATGAGTTTGGGAAAAATGAATTGAAAATAGCATCTTCTTAGATAACAAATTCCGCCAACGCCAAGCTAATGAAACTTTTGGGCTGAAATTTTTACTACTTATTAAGGGTGCAAAAAGCCTCAAATATCCTGAATTACAAGTGTCTGCGATGAAAATTGCATTAATTATTAGCAATTGAAGAAAGCGGACAATTTCGACCATTTTTGAGCTCTTGCGCATAAACAAATTATTGGAATTTAATCGGACTTGTCTTATTTTACAGATTTATTTAATACCTACCTTTTTTCTATAAACCTTTTTTCTCTATGAATAACAGTTTTTTTACGCGCGTCAAAAAAACCACTTTTCCATAATTTTGACCATTGTTTTAACAAAGTTTCCCAACTAGTCTCGAGTTGATTTTTTGATATTTTGTTTATAACACGTTTCTGAACAATATTCCGCAGAGAAACTTCTAATAGTATTTTTTTCCCGAAAAAAAGCTATAATGACTGGCATAAAGGTATTTTTGAACATTTACTCAAATAAAGTCTGTAAAATGATAACTAATGTTATTAGTTTCTTTATTCGTATAAATAACCGAATGATTAGTGTTTGTCATGTCATTTAAAAGTAGAAGTGTTTTCAGTTGGTTTTTTAAGTTTTACTCGAAAATCGGCTTTTTACGAAAAACATAAGAGAGTAGTAATGTGTAGAAAATTGAAAGACGAATCCGAAAATATTATGGTTGGTGCCGTAAAGCAGTGGCGTACTATTTTATTTAGAAAAATATGTCACTGGAGCATGTAAATTTTAGGAAAAGCTCTCAGATTTTAGACAATGTTTACCTAAATACATGTGCCCAATTTCAAATTATTTCACTTACTAGTTTTTAAATTATTAAAAAAAAAATAAATATATTTTTTAAAGTTTAACACCCTGTATCTTTTTAATGAAGCGTAGATAAAAACTTTATAGGAAAGATTCCCGTTAAAAAATAGGAGGTTTCATTTTTGGTCACCATTTGTGAATCACCCGGTATAACTGCAATTAAACTTCATATTTGTACTACATTACAGTTAACATTTTTTTAATGTAAAGTTCAGTAATAAAAAAATATATATTTGTATCTATTTCAATGTATTAGCCATTTTTCATTAGTATTAGGTGTTTCTTGGGAACTTAAATATTGGTATGAACGAAGAATACAGGGTGGTCCGAATTTTATGCAGGAAACTTCGAGGACAGATAGATCTCTTTAAAATAATAGGAGTTTGCCTTATAAACATAGGTCTGGAACGGCCCCGTTTTAGAGATACAGGGTGTTGAAGTTGTTAAAAAAATATTATTTTTTGTTTATATCTCAGGAATCTATTAACCGATCTTAATAAAATTTGGTACAAATAATATACGATAGTAGGCCTTGCATTCCCTAAAATATGAGCTCTAAAGGTTTAGCCAGTGGTGTACAACTGAACAGGGGTCACCCCCTTTTTATAAAAAAACCTACGCCACTGTATTTTTTTACGTTATTGTAATGGATTTATATTCTAATACACTAAATACGTAAAAATGGTGACTTGAATTTTTTCCCTAAGGTTCACCATTTTCAAGTTATTGATACAAATACAATCCCCTTGTGGCAGACACTTCAGATCATAATATTACAAAAATATTTATGTTTATGCTTAAAAGTAAGTGCAATTTATAAGCACATCAACAAAATTCTTTCCATATCACTTGTGAGGTAGTGTTCCTGGTGTTTTAGTTTTCCCTGGACGTATTATCTTTACAAATAAGAACAATTTAAATCAAAATAATAATAAAAATACATTTACCAAGCAACAACAACTAAACAAGAAACAAAATTAACGTTACGTATTTACAGCAATTGTTTAAAATGCGAACCACCCATATCGATACATTTCTGACATCTATTAATGGAACTAATTCAAGCTAATATCATGGTGGTTTTCTATTCGCTGCAGTAGTTGTGGTCTAGTATCTATTGGAGTAGAGTAGACTTTTCAGGTAGGTCACCCCAAACATAGAGGTCCAGGTAGTTTAGATCTGGCGATCTGGCTGGCCAAGACACTGGACCCTCTGCACCATTATGGTTGACATTGGCATTTGGTCTTCTACCTATCCATCATATCATATAATTTTCGTTAAGCCATTCTTGTATTATTCTCCTAAAATGCGCAGGAGCACCATCCATTTGTATCAACCTATTTTGTCGTATATTTAATGGAACATCCTCTAATAATTCAAATAGATGGTTTTCTAGAAAGTTTAGAAATGACATCGAATTTCATGAGGATTTTCTTGTGATCAAATATCCAGATTGTGAAAATTCAGTACCCCTCACCTTGTGAACGTAGCCTCATCGGTCCAAAGTATTTCTAGTAAGAATTCAAACAACCACTGATAAAAATTCAGGCGTCTCTCTGCATCTCCCGGAAGTAAATTTTGCACAGGTTGTAAATGGTACGGATTTCTGTCATCCTTACGTAGAACTTTTCAAATTTTCGATTTACTCATCCCAAGTTGCCGAGACGTTCTTCGTGTACCTACTTAGCCGAGGATCGTCCTTAAATGCTTTCAAAATTTAATTTTTGTGCCTTTCATTACTTTGTCGTGATTTTCCAAATATTATTTTAATCCAAAAAGATGAAAGCGATGAGTGTAAAGAATTTTGTTGATGTGCTTACAAATTGCACTTACTTTTAAGCATAAACATAAATATTCTTGTAATATTATGGTTAGAAGTGTCTGCCACAAGGGGATTGTATTGGTATGAATAACTTGAGAACGGTGAACTTTAGGGAAAAAATTCAAGTTACCTTTTTTACGTATTATATGCATTAGAATATAAATTCGTTACAATAGCTTGTAAAAAATACAGTGGCGTAGTTTTTTTATAAAAAAGGGGGTGACCCTGACCAGTTGTACACCACTGGTTGAACCTTTAGAGCTCGTATTTTAGGGAATACAAGGCCTACTATCATACATTATCTGTACTAAATTTGATTGAAATCGGTCGATGGATTCCGGAGATATAAACAAAAAATATTTTTTTTTTAACAACTTCAACACCCTGTATCTCTAAAACGAGACCGTTCCAGATCTATGTTTATAAGGCAAACACCTATTATTTTAAAAAGATCTATCTGCCCTCGAAGTTTCCTGCATAAAATTCGGACCACCCTGTATAGCTCATTAAAGAAAATAAAATATTTAAAACTTTTTTTGTTATAATACTGTTTTATAAAATTTACCTGTTCCGAAAGGTTGAATCATGTGTTGTCAACTTTAGTTTAGTTTAGTTATTTTTGTTTCGGGTTTAGAATGATTATAGACGGTATGAAATAGACTTTGTCAAGAAATGTTTTCTCTTAAAATTATGAATTTTCTTCTTTGAACAAAAAATTTTAACTCTTCGGATGATTAAACACAAAAGCAAATATTTAAGAAATAAAGAATTAAACTACTTTAATTGTTTTCCTATACACACCCAGAAGCAGATAGAAATTGTACAAGGAATTTTTCAATATAGTAACGCTACATGCAGACCTCCCTTAAAGCCGTAACATAAAATCTTTTACTTATACACATCTTGATAAATTCTATTTAAAATTCCGACGCTCATCCTGGCTTTTTGCTACGTTTTTTGCGAAAAACCCAAGTTTTTACGCGAAATCTTTTCCTAACATTTCAACAGGATTCTAAAAAAACAAAAAAAGAACAGTATTGCTTGTTAATTATTCCACGCCATCCAGAGAGACTTTTATTTAACAAACTTCCTTTCCCGGAGAGCTATGCTTCCTGTT